TTGTGGTAGTCTCAGTCTCCATGAGGTATCCTGGATTAGAATAACTGGAAGATGGCTCCCCTGCGCACCCTTCCCTCCCCCCCTCCCAATCCTGGGGCTTGAACTCAGGGCCTGGGCACTGTCCCTGAGCCTCTCTGTACTCAAGGCTCGTACTCTACCATTTGAGCCACAGTACCACTTCCGGATTTTTCTTTTTATGTGGTACTGAGGAATTGAGCCAGGGCTTCATGCATGCTAGACAAGCACTCTACCACTAAGCCACATTCCCAGCCCTAGAAGATAGCTTTTTTCCCCTTGATTGTGGGACTTGAATTCATGGCTTGGCACTGTCCCTGAGCTCTTTTGCTCAAGGTTAGTTAGTACTCTACTGCTTAGAGACACAGCTCCACTTCTGACTTTCTAGTGGTTAATTGGAGATGAGTATTAAGAAACAGGGCAGTAGTGGCTCATGCCTGTAATCCTAGCTTCAGGAGGCTGAGATTTGAGGATCATGGTTCAGAGCCATTCCAGGCAGGAAAGGCTGTAATATATGTCTCTTATCTCCAGTTAACAACCAGAAAACCGGAAGCGATGCTGTAGTTCAAAGTGCTAGAGCACTAGCCTTGAGCACAAAAGCTCAGGGACAGCGCCCCAGATCCTGAGTTCAAGCCCCATGACCAACAACAAAAAGACTCATGGACATTTCTAAGTTTGAACTACGATTGTCAGATCTCAGCCTTCTGAGTAGCTAGGTTTACAGGTATCTTTGACGCACTCTATCCTGCCCTCCACTTGAACACATTTCCAGGCCCAGATGTCCTTCTTCACTCTGCTCTCCCAGGTCTATTCACCCCATTGGTTGCTCTACCTGTCAGTGCCTTTTGCACCCAAGCTTGGACAGGAAATGGAAAATTCCCAGCTCTCTCACGCTCCCTTCCTTAGTGGCAGGGCTTCAGCAAGGGTGACCTTGGGCTGAGGGCTGATCCCCCTGCAGGGAGGCTGGTTGGAGCTGACTGCCAGAAGGGAGGGGCCCACCGGGAGCTGCTGAGCATTGCTGGCCACCTGGTGGGACTATGGTTCTGAGGCTGTTATGGCTGGCCAGGGCTCTGTCACCCTGCTTGCTAGAAGCAAGGTGGAAGGCTCCCACACTGTGGGGGCTGGGCTGGCTGGTGGACCACAAGGTGGAGCAGGGGGCTTGGGTATGCAAGAGAGCCTTAGAGGTGGGGCAGGTATCAATGGCCTGTGCAAGACCCAGGGTCTTGAGAAAAAGCCAGGTTCTGAGACCCAGAGCTGGGTATTCCTGGGCCAACTGGGATCATAACCCTAGGGAATGCTGAGCTTGTGTTGCCCTCTGGTGGTCATTTAACCAACATCCAGACCTCCTGATTTGGCTCCCTTTCATCCCTCTCCCTGCTCTCTTCAAAGCTCTCTTGGTCTTCCCAATGTCCCACAACCAGCCTCACCTGTCTACCCTCTCCTTAAAGTCCTGAGACCTTCTCTTTAAAGTCCTGGGACCAGTCCAAGAACCTAGACCCAAGGCCTCAGATCCACAAGCCATCTTTGATTTACAAGGCTCTGTTGCCATGGTAACCATTACCATTCCTCCTCTCCTTTGTAGGGGGGGGGAGACACTTTCTATTATTCTGATCCCAGGAGTCATTGGTGATGCAGGCTTTGTGTTTTGGAGGGTTATCAGAGCCTCCCATTCCCCCTCTTATCTGAGGCCTTAAGAGGCAGGTGTTAGCCCAGAGCAGGCAGGCAGGGTCAGAGGTTAGAAGAGGCTGGTTTAGGCCTCACCTTGATGCCCCTCCCCAAGCCAGACCTCTTAGCCTCAGCCCCTCCCCTGTCTCAGGCCACCAGCTGACTTCCCTCTGTCACCCCCTCCCCTCCACTCTGGGATTCGTGCCAGGGTGAAAAGGGGACACTGGCACAGACTGTGTGTGTCTGGGAATTCCCGCCCACCGTGGAGCCAGAGGAGGGGGGGGGGTCCCGGTGTCCCTGGGGAGCCAATAGCAGCCAGGCCTTCCCTTGGGGATGGGGGGGTGGGGGAGGGAGGCTGTGTATATCTTTCAGGCCAGCACCCTGTAGGTTCTGTTTCCACTCTGCCTGCCTGGTACCAGCGAAACCGCGCTCTGTCCCGGGGGGCTCTGAGCCCCCCAGGCACTGGCTCTGATATTGGAGGTGGGGGGAGGTTGAGGACCCTTGGTCCTCAGGGATGGCTCAGCCAGGGGTTTCTGTCAAGTCTCTGGTGTCATCTTATGAGACCCGAGTGGTAGGGATGGCTCCGGGGCCATCCCGGAAAAGGGGCTGTGTCTCCTCCCCGTGCTCCCCACGCGGAGCTTCTCCCATCCGAGGGGCACCTGGACCCCCATCCCACCGAGGCCGAGGGGGGTCGGGCCAACGATCTGTCCCCTGTCGGGGGATGGACAAAAGCCTCCTCCCCCTGATTCTCTACTGCCACAGGTAATGGGTGCAGGCCAGAGGCTGAGCTTGAGGAGGAGGCTGGAGGTTGCTCCAGGGAAAAGCTGGGCTGTAGGAACACCTGGCTCCTCCTCTTCCTCACCTGTCACCTCTCTGTGTCTCTCCAGTGGTTCCGGAAGCCTGGTTGGCATTGACAACAAGATCGAACAAGCCATGGTAAGAGGAAATGTCTCTGTCCACTTCTGTTTATCCTGCTGCTTGAGAATACTAACCCAGCCCCTTGACCCCACCCCACTCCCTGGTCCTTTGAGCTTTGCCCCTGTCCTGCATCCTTGCACCCCTCCTTCATGTCCCCTTCTTTTTTTATCGGTCTTGGGGCTTGAACTCTGGGCCTGGGCACTGCCTGAGCTCTTCATCTACCTCTTGAGCCACATTTCCACTTCTGATTTTCTGGTGGTTTATTGGCGATAAGTGTCTCACGAATTTTGCCATCTGGGCTGGCTTTGAACCTTGATCCTTAGATCTCAGTCTCCTGAGTATCTAGGATTACAGGTGTGAGCCACTGGTGCCCAGCTTCCCCTCCAATTTGGAGGATGCAAAAGCATCTTTCAAGGCACTGGGGTAAAGGATGTGGTGGTCTGGGTAGTAGTTGAGCAGTTGTGATGCTTTTTTTTTTTTTTTTTGCCTGTTCCCTTGTTCCCCAGGACTTGGTCAAGTCCCACCTCATGTTTGCAGTCCGGGAGGAGGTAGAGGTGCTGAAGGAACAGATCCGTGATCTGGCGGAGCGGAATGCAGCGCTGGAGCAGGAGAATGGACTGCTACGAGCCCTGGCCAGCCCAGAGCAGCTAGCCCAGCTGCCTTCTTCGGGACTCCCTCGGCTTGGGCCCCCTGCACCCAACGGGCCCTCTGTCTGAGCCTCCTTTCCCTCACAATGTGCCTTTGGGGGAGTGCCACAGCTGCTGGGCTTTGCACCAGCTGCCTGCCCCCTCTTTCTATGCAGCTTTAATGCCCCCCTCCCCAAATCCCTGAAACTGGGAGTTCGAGGCTCAGTGTTGGCCTGTTCCCCCACCCTACCCCATCTCCCCCTTGGTCCCCAAACCTTGATGGAGGAGGGAAGGCTCAGGATGGAGTGTTAGATGGAGCCCCCATCTCCACAAGAGGTCCCAGCCCCTGTCCCTCCCTAGGTATCAGTGTTCTGGGGAACCCCCAGTAGATGGCTTTGAGAGGAGGAGTCAGAGGCTCCCTAGCACACACCTTGTTCCCTTGAAGTTCTCCCCCCACCTCTCCATTGCCCAGGGGAGGGCGCTATGGACAGTATCTGGAAGTTCTGGGATTCAGGTTGTTATTAAAATAATAATTATAATTAAAAAAAAATCTGAAGAAACTTGAATTTGGAAGTTGGTATAGAATTGCTTGCCGGCCACTGTGAACTTCTGTGAAGATCTCTGTCCACTCTGGGGGTGAGAGTTGGGAATGGGGAGGAGGGGGAGGTTGGTGGGGGCAGAGTGGGTCCAGAGAGATTTAGTACCGGATCCTGGGAAGAAGGGCAGGCAGGCCAGGCAGAGAAAAGTGTGGTGAGGGCAGCATCTGCCCACGTGCTGATGGGGGAAAGAGACACAATGAAGCCTTTGGTGAAAGTACAGGATCCACCCCCCCTCCCCCCAGCTTCCCAGCGTGTCCCCTCTGCAGGCTTGGGGGCGGGGTGGAGGACCCTGAATGGGCCCCTTGTCTTCAGGTTGGGTGTAGGCCAGGCTCCTTAGCACATGGTGCCCTCACCAGGCCTGACTGGCCGCTGCTGTGGGTTCCACCCCCCCTTTCCCCTCCCCTCCTTCAGCTGGCTGAGGATGGGCCCTGTGGGTGAGCAGGCCCCTCCCTGGCAGCCTGGGCTCTTGTCCTAGATGGAAAGTCAGCCAGGAAGGTCGCCATCTAGTGGGAGGAAGGGGACCGTGGGAGACCGAGGGCTCCTGGGGACCTGGAGGAATTGTGCAGAAGCTGGTATTTGGAGGGCAACCTGGGTTAGTTTTTTGTTTTTTTGTTTTTGTCAGTCCTGGGGCTTGAACTCTGGGCCTGGGCACTGTCCCTAAGCTTCTTTTGTTCAAGGCTAGCACTCTACCTCTTGAGCCACAGTGCCACTTCAGGCTTTTTCTGTTACGTGGTACTAAGGAATCAAGCCCAGGGCTTCATGAATGCTAGGCAAGCACTAAGCCACATTCCCAGCCTGGCTGGAGCTCTTTTGAGCTCTCTAGACTTATGACTGGGCAAAATCTGTGCACTCTCTCGCGTTCTCTCTTTCTGTCTCTGTCTCTGTCTCTGTCTCTCTGTTTCTCTCTCTGTCTCTCTGTGTCCCTGTGTCTCTGTCTCTCTTGGTCATGGGTATTCTACCTCTGAGCTTTTATACTCGAGGCTAGCACTCTACCACTTAATAGCCACAGCTCCACTTCCTGTTTTCCTGTGGATAATTGGAGATGAATGTCACAGACTTTCCTGCCAGGGCTGACTTCAAATCACAATCCTCATATCTCAGCCTCTTGAATAGCAAAGATTTCAGGAGTGAGCCACTGGTACCTGGCTGAACTCAGATTTTCTGACTCTTAGTCACCTCATGGGTAGGGTGGTACTGACCATAACACATACCTTGAAGGGAACTTAATATGACACACTCATGGGAAAGTCCTGGCACATACAAGCATTCAGTTACTGTTTTCTTCTCTTGGATTTGTGCTTGGTAAAGTCAAAACGATGAACGATTGGCTCTGTGGGTGCTGGAAGGGCTGTGGGGGTTGGGGCAGGGTCCTGGCAGCTCTCACAATGGGCTAGAATTCTCCCTTACTGTAGGTTCTCATCCACTTGGACTCCTCTCCCTGCCCCAGGGAGGGGAGGAAGAGCCTGGGACGAGTCACTAGGGAAGAGTTTCTCCCTTGTATTTCCTGGTTCTTCCTTCACTGTTGTGTTTGAAGCTCCTCAGTTTCCACGAGCCCCCTTCCACTGGCAGCCATTGGCTTACAGCCTGTCCCCTGCCCTGCTCCGAATGCTGGCTCTGCCCCTACTTTGAACTCTTTATATCCAGTCATGGTCTCAAGGTTCTTCAAATGGGTTAGGCGTGTTTGGCAAAAGATGAACAGTTGGGTGAGTTTCATACACTGCCTGGGATAAGGGCTTTGGCCAGTGACATCTTGGTTGTGGTATACACCACACACACACCAACCAACCATATTCCTTCACTCCTGGCCCCTTGGGACTAAGCAAGACAGGCTAGGAAGCAGGGAGGATTAAAAGGGATGGAAAAGAACATTTGGGAAGGAGGCCAGTGAAAGTCATCCCTGATTTGTGCGTGTGTGTACTAGAGCTTGAAATCAAGGCCTGAGAACTGTCTATTTTTTTTTTTTTATTGTGAAGATACTATACAGAGGGTTACAGCTACATGAGTGAGGTAATGAGTACACTTCCTCTTGAACATTGTTACCCCCTCCATTGGAGAACTGTCTTTTAGCTTTTTGTTCAAAGCTGGTGCTTTACCACCTCAGCCACACCTCCATTTCCAGCTTTTGATGGTCAATTGGAGGCCAAAGTCTCATGGCTGGCTTTGATCCATAATCAGATCTTAGCCTCCTGAATAGCTGGGATTTCAGGTATGAGTCAGATTTAGGGACTTCTTGTTGCTGGCAACTACCCCTTTTCTGTTTCTGTTTTGTAGGTTTTCTCCTGGAGACACAAACCTGAGTCAATGCTGTTGGAACAATCTAGCTCCAAGAAACTGGCCCTGAAAAAGATAGAGAAGACTCCTGCAGAGCTTTCAACATCAAAATTAGTCCAGACACCCAGTCTGAGTGCGTGTGCGAAGGCGCTTGAGCCCTGTGCATTGGCCACTACCACAAAGCAGTCAATGGGCAGCCATGGGAATCGCTCCTTGATGCAGCTGTCCCGGACGGCTGTCCAGTCCGTCTCCTCGCTTATGTTGTCTACCCTGCGGTCTGGTTGGCAAATGTGTAGGTGGAAGGTGAGTACTTTCCCACCTCCCAAATCGCCAGTGATTCATTTCTTCCCCCATTCATTTGTCTAGAAATTCTTTCCTGTGCTCCTTGTGTTGCCAGGCACTGAAAAGACAATGATGAACAGGATAAGAGGACTGGTTGGTTCTGTATCTCAAGAGGGATGTATTGTGGGAGGTATAGGGAGCTGGGAGTGCAGACCTGGGGACACAGAGAAAGAAGAAGACAGGGTGAGCCAGGTGCTGGTGGCTCTTGCCTATAATCCTAGCTACTCAGGAGGCTGAGATCTGAGGATTGTGGTTCAAAGCCAGCCTGGGTCAATTAACTACCAGAAAACTGGAAGTGGCATGTTGGCTCAAAATGGCAAGCCTTAAATGCAGAAGCTCAGGGACAATGCCCACGCCTTGAGTTCAGGCCCCCATGACTGAAAGAAAAAGTGTGTGTATGAAATAAAAGAGTTCACTTCATTTGAGTTGGGAAAGGATTGATAAGGGGAGGTAGAAGGAAAGGGAGGGGTGGTCCAGGAAGAGAGAATTGCAGGTGTATTCAGGAATGGCCTGAGGGGTCTGGGAGGGGGTGGAACAATCCCTGAGCCGAGAGACAGCTCACCTCACACCAAGCAGGTAGATGGTGAAGTTGTAGAATTTGATTGGTTGTTGTTGTTGTTGTGTCTGTTCTGGGGCTTGAGCTTTCACTTGGCCTTTTTTGCTGAAAGCTATCTCTACCACTTGAACCACAGTTCTACTTTATGATGGTCAATTGGAGATGAGTGTCTTGGACTTTTCTTCCCTAGGCTGGCTTCAAGCTGCCATCCTCAGATCTCAGCCTCTTGATAGGTGACTTGAGCCAGCAGTGCCTGGCCCCAAACAAACTGAGTTCTCTTTCTATCAATTGTCATACCGATTTGCTTCACCAAGTGCTAAAGATGATGGGCCTTGTTTCAAACCCTAGTGATTGACAAGAGCAGACAAGCCATTTTCAAATTTTTCTTTTTTGTGCTGGTACTGGGAGTTGAACTCAGGGCCTAAGCACTATCCCTGAGGGTTTTTGTTTTCTTTTTGTCAGTCCTGGGGCTTGAATTCAGGTTCTGGGCACTGTCCCTGAGCTGCTTTTGCTCAAGGCTAGCACTCTATCACTTGAGCCACAGCACCACTTCTGGCTTTTTCTGTGTATGTAGTACTGAGGAATTGAACCCAGTGCTTCATGCATGCTAGGCAAGTACTCTACCACTAAGCCACATTCCCAGCCCTGTCTCTGAGTTTTTTCTTTTTTTTTTTTTGGGTCTGGTCATGGGGCCTGAACTCTGGGCCTGGGCGCTGTCCCTCTGCTCTTCAGCTCAAGGCTAGCGCTCTACCACTTGAGCCACAGCGCCACTTCCGGCTTTTTTCTTTTTGCTTATGTGGTGCTGAGGAATCGAACCCAGGGCCTCAGGCATGCAAGGCAAGCGCTCTACCACTGAGCCACCTTCCCAGCCCTCTCTGAGTTTTTTCACTCAAGGATAGCACTCTATGATTTGAGCCACAGCTTCACTTACAGTTTTTTGCTACTTAATTGGAAAAAAGAGTCCCATAGATTTTCTTGCCCAGGGTTGGCTTTGAACTGTGATTCTCAGATCTTGACATCCTGAGTAGCTAGGATTACAGGCATAAACCACCAACTCCCAGCTATTATCTTTTATTTAACACATTCACCATGAAATTCAAAGGTTTGAGTGAGGATTCAAAGGTAGCTATTTTCCATAAGTGGCAAAACAGGAGAGTCTTTGGAATAAACAGTGCATAAAATGTGGCATGCTGGGGCAGATAGCAGAGTAGAGAGTGTGAACAGACCAAAAGAGTCTTTTGGGGGGCTGGGAAGTTGGCTCAGTGGTAGAGCGCTTGCCTTGCATGCATGAGGCCCTGGGTTCGATTCCTCAGCACCACATAAGAAAAAAGCCGGAAGTGGCGCTGTGGCTCAAGTGGTAGAGCGCTAGCCTTGAGCTGAAGAGCTGAGGGACAGCGCTCAGGCCCAGAGTTCAGGCCCCACAACCGGACCCAAAAAAAAAAAGTCTTTTGGAATGAGGTGTATTTGAGGGAGTCTGATGGAGGAGGTGGAATGAGCCCAACCTTTTTCTGTCTATCTGCAGGTGACTCTACCTAATATTTTTTCCTCTAGTCCCAGGGATTTGCATGCGTGCATGCATGTCATCTCTTTCTCTTGCAGTCTGTAAGTTCTTCCTCAATTACCTCTCAAATGAGGGTCCGGTCCCCCTTGGATACGCCAGAGGCTGAGATGCTACGAGAAGTCTACCTAGTGCTGTGGGCCATTCGGAAACAACTACGACAGCTGTCCCGCAGGCAGGAGCGGCGCAGGCGACATCATATCCGGACCCACATATCTCCACCCCCTGACACGGTGCCAGGCCTGAAGCAAGATGCCCAAAGTCCCCTCTAGGTCGGGGGAGCCCTAGAACCTCAGAAATCCCCACCTTGCTCTTAGGTAAGGTGGATCAAGAGGGGTCAGGACAACAGGCCAGAAGTTGTGGGTAAGGAGACGTTTTTCATGCTGTTAACTCCCATTGGGAGCCCCAAGGCCAGGCCTGGGGGGGTCATACCTACTCCCCTTCTCTGTGTTTATTCAAGTTGTAAAAAAGATTATCAAAGTATTGATTAATAAATATCACATATTTCTGAGTAGATGAGTGAGCTTGTGAATAGAAGAGCTTTAGGGAGGCCAGGATAGAGCACCCCAGTTTGGAAATCCTAATATGTATAGGAGTGACCCTCAGTCTGTGATAAACAGGGACTGTATTTCCTCTAGGCAGTTGATGGGTAGCCATAGCAACAAACAGCTATTGAGTACCCTTTGAGCATCTAGCATGCATCAGGCAATCTGCTAGTTAACACTCTCTAGCAGTTTTTCAAGAAAGTTATTTAGGGTGGGTCTGTTCTGAACTGACCACCCCCCATGCTTTTTTTTTTTTTGTTGGTCATGGGGCTTGAACTCTGGGCCTGGGTGCTGTCCCTGTGCTCTTCAGCTCAAGGTGAGCACACTACCACTTGAGCCACAGTGCCAATTCCAGTTTTCTGAGTGGCGTATTGGAGATAAGAGTCTCATGGACTTTTCCTGCCTCGGCTGGCTTTGAACTGCAATCCTCAGATCTCAGCCTCCTGAGTAGCTAGAATTACAGGTGTGAGCCACCGGCACCCAGCGCTGTCCCCCCACCCCTGCTCTTTTTCTTAGGAGCTCTTGGCTTTGGCCATGCTGTGGCCTTGGAGCCTGTGATTTTGACCCAGCTGTCCACGTCCTGCCAAGAACCTTGGGAAACTACACTTCCCAGAATGCCTGGCAGCAACGTGGGCTCTGAATAGGAACCCTACCCATGCTACTGCAGAAGTCAAGTGAGGGCTGTGTTGATCCAGCAGGGATGGGATGGGAAGGTCCAGCTTGGCACTGGGAGCCCAACATCTCTGGAGGGAGCCATGTTGATGTGGAGGTTGCATTTTAGATGCCTCAGGAGGGGAGATCCTGCAGCTGTCAATCTTAGCCTGGCCTCTGGGCCAGACCTGGGAAGATGCAGGGATCGTTTTCCAGGGTAAAGCAGGCATCTTTCACCAGAAAGCAAAATTTGGAGGATGTGAGGGGGTCACAGGATTGCAGATGGCAGCAGATTGCTGGAGGAGCTTGTGTAAGGGAGGAGGGCAAGGAACCATACTACAGCTCTGCTGGGTGATGCTCAACTTGTGACTTGCTGAGCACAGCAGGGGGAAAGTGAGGAATGGCAGGCAGGGATGGTTTTCTGGAAGTCATTAGACAACTCACCCACCCCTCCACTGCTATGGGAGGGTTTGGGCCCGCTTAATATTAGCCAATACTTAAAGCAACAGTACTAACACCTGTTACTTAGGAAGCCCTTGTAACCAGATAACCAGATGATGGATGAGGAGGTTGCATGAAAACTTCCTTCTTGGGCTGGGAAGGTGGCTCAGTGGTAGAGCGCTTGCCTTGCATGCCTGAGGCCGTGGGTTCGATTCCTCAGCACCACATAAGCAAAAAGAAAAAAGCCGGAAGTGGTGCTGTGGCTCAAGTGGTAGAGTGCTAGCCTTGAGCTGAAGAGCTGAGGGACAGCGCCCAGGCCCAGAGTTCAGGCCCCACGACCGGACCCCCCCCCAAAAAAAAACACAACAAAACTTCCTTCTTTCCTCCCTTTCTCCTTTCTCTTTCATCTTTTCCACTCCTTCCTTCCTTCCTTTCTTTCTTTCCTTTTTTTTTTTTTTTTGGTACTGGTCCTGGGCTTGAACTTAGGGCCTAGGTGTTATCCCTTAGCTTTTTTTTTGCTCAAGGCTTGGCATTCTATTACTTGAGCCACAACTCCATTTCCTGCTTTTTGTGGTGCTTAATTGGAGCTAAGGGTCTCACAGACTTTCTTGCCCTGGTTGGCTTCAAATTTAGATCCTCAGATTCAGGGCATGAAAAAGAGAACTTCTAGGTGGGTGCTAGTGGCTTATACCTGTAATCCTTAGCTACTCAGGAGGCTGAGATCTGAGGATCACCGTTCAAAGCCAGCCTGGGCAGGAAAGTCCGTGAGACTCTTTATCTCCAATAAACCACTAGAAAACCAGAAATGGTGCTGTGGCTCAAGCGGTAGAGCACTCACCTTGAGCTGAAAAGCACAGGGATAGCACCCAAGCCCAGAGTTCAAGCCTCATGACTGTCAAAGAGAGAGAGGTGGGGGGAAGAGAGAACTTCTGCTTTCAGGTTTTTAGGAGAGACCTCATGGTGAACTGGTGTATAGTGGCTCAGCTTTGGAGTTTCCAACCACCAGTTGTTTGCTATATCTCCAGTGTATATCAGGAACCATTCTGGGATCAAACAGCATTGGTGATAGGTCCCAGGAACCCTGAGGTATAACAGATCCCAGACTCTTGGAGTAGCATCTACCATCACCATCTGATGTGAGCTTTTATATCCAGATTCAGGATCAGCCTCCAAGTTTAGAAATGGGCTCCTGTTCACTGGGAACCTCAGGTTTGAGAGAGGATTGGAAAGGCCAAAGCGTGGTCTCTGGTAAATAATCTTGCAGGTAGCTACAGGCCCAGGAAACATCCAGGCCTGAGGCTATGTGCAAATGGAAAGGAATCCTGCTCTCATTTTTCCTTGACTTCTTCACCATCATAGGAGTGGGAGGTGGAAAGAGGACCCTGAGTTCTGCCAGAAGCCATTGGGAGTTACTGGTATATCCTACCTCTCTCCTTCCCCAGTCCTGTCTGGGCTCAGCCCAGGAAATTGAAGGAAAACTTCAAAGTAAAGGTAGATGCCCAGAACTGTCTACCCGAGTTGGCCTCCTTCCTGACTCATCCTGAGGAATCCCAGCCAAAAGCTCTGAGGACTGTAGGATGACCAGAGAAGGAGGAAAACATGTGGAATCTCCCGGAATGGGAAGAGAATAGTACTCAGCACTTAGGAAGTAGAGGTAGTAGGACTGCAAGTTCACAGCCAGCATGGGCTACTAAGACATCATCAGGAAAACAAAAACAAAAAATCCATACATCAGTGGCTCAGCCTATAACCTAGCTACTTAGGAGGCTGAGATATGAAGATCTGTTTGAGACCACTCAGGGCAAGAAAGTCTGTGAGACTCTTATCTCCAATTAACCACCAAAAAACTGGAGACAGAGCTATGGCTCAAGGAGTAGAGCACTAGTTTTGAGCTCAGGGACAGTGCTGGGATCTGAGTTTCAAGCCCCAGGACAGGCACAAAGACAAACAGATTTGTTCTGGTTTGCTCTGGTCTCCGAGGTTTCTGAGCATGTCATTTCTTTTTTTTTTTGGTCTGGTCGTGGGGCTTGAACTCTGGGCCTGGGCACTGTCCTTCAGCTCTTCAGCTCAAGGTGAGTGCACTACCACTTGAGCTATACCGCCACTTCCAGTTTTCTGGTGGTTTATTGGAGATAGGAGTCTCATGGTCTCTCCTGCCTGGGCTGGCTTTGAACCGCGATCCTCAGATCTTAGCCTCCTGAGTAGCTAGGATTACAGGCGTGAGCCACCAGCACCCGGCATTTCTTTTTTTTTTTTTTTTAAATTGGGGACTAAGTTTTATTTATTTATTTAGGGTCTGGTCGTGGGGCCTGAACTCTGGGCCTGGGCAGTGTCTCTCAGCTCTTCAGTTCAAGGCTAGCGCTCTACCACTTGAGCCACAGCGTCACTTCCAGCTTTTTTCTTTTTGCTTATGTGGTGCTGAGGAATCGAACCCAGGGCCTCAGGCATGCAAGGCAAGCGCTCTACGGCAAGCGCTCTACCACTGATCCACCTTCCCAGCCCCTGAGCATGTCATTTCTTCATGGACTTTCCCAAATCATGCGACCAGAGATGGGGAAAACCCTCTTTGAACCTAACATCTCTTGATGCTTTATTTTTTCATGGTAGTTAATGGTACCTGATATGATCATATTTGTATAAGATGTGAAAGTTGCCAGAATAAAAATGGAGTCATTTGTGTTGATCTTTTCCTTTTTTTTTTCTTTTGTACCAGCACTGAGACTTGAACTCAGAGTCTCATTCTCTTGCTTAGCTTTTTTTTTTTCCCCCAGTCATGGGGCCTGAACTCTGCTGAACTCTTCAGCTCAAAGTTAGCACTCTACCACTTGAGCAACAGCGCCACTTCCAGCTTTTTCTGCTTATGTGGTACTGAGGAATCGAACCCAGGGCCTCATGTATGCAAGGCAAGCAATCTACCACTGAGTCACTTTCCCAGCCCCTCTTACTTAGCTTTTTTTAGCTTAAAGCTGGAGTTCTGCCACTTGAGCCACACCTTTGTTTTTTTAGGCTAACTTGAGATGATGAGTCTTATGGACCTTCCTGCTCAAGCTGGGTTCAAACCACAATCTTCACATCTCAGCCTTTTGAGTAGCTAGGATTACAGGTATAAGCTACTGATGTTTGACTACATTGGTGGTTTCTGAGGAGGTTTTATGCCTGGACAGTCTGTTTTTTTTTTTTGTTTGTTTGTTTTTTTAAAATTTTATTTTATTTTGAGAACATACTGTACAGAGGGGTTACAATTACATGGGCAGGATAATGCATACATTTCTTACCAAGCATTGCAGCCTCCTCCTTTGTTTACCCTTGTCCTCCCTTCCCAGCCTCCCCCCTCCCCCCCACCCAATCATACCCCCCCTCCCCCATGTTTTTTTTTTTTTTGTCGGTCATGGGCCTTGAACTCTGGGCCTAGGCATGTCTCTTAGCTCTTTAGCTCAAGGCTAGTGCTCTACCACTTAAGCCACAGCACCACTTCCTGTTTTCTGGTGGCTTATTGGAGATGAGTCTCACACTTTCCTGCTGGGCCTGGCTTTGAACTGTGATCCTCAGATCTCAGGCTCCTGAGTAGCTAGGATTATAGGTGTGAGCCAACGGCACCTGGACAGCCTGGGTTTTGATCTTCTTTGTGTTCTTAGGCTTCCTAAGGATGATTGGTGCCCAGCCATTGTGCTTCCCTCCTAGTTGGAAGAACAGGCATGTCATTGGTTTGAGAGGGAATCTTGTGAGCTTTTATATACAGATTGGCTTCAGATCACAATCCCTTGCTCTGTCTCCCAGGTAGGGAGCCTCCTAGGTAGCTAAAATTATAGGTACAAGCCACTGGCGGTGCCTGGTTTCTATGTGTTTGTTTTTGTGGTACTGATGACTGAACTCAGAGCCTCAGTGCAAGCATCTTGCCACTTGAGCCGCACCCTCAGTTGCATGTATTATTAATGAAGGTCTCA